TTTGGCTAATATAATTATGGCCACTGCACCCACTTGTGGTTACTATTTGCATGGATTGTTTTCATCCTTTATTTTCAGCCTGCTTGACTCCTTAGAGCTAAAATAAGTCTTTTGTGGACATAATATTGTAGAAACTCAATTATTCTTAATCCATTCAGCCATGTTATTTTCTTTAGATTTAAGAGTTTAATCCATTTATATTTAAAGTAGTTAGTGAAAGAAATGAAGTTACTCTTCATGTCTTCTAGACATCCCTCATTTCTTCTCTTATAGCCTTCATTTTTGTTTTGCTGATTTTGCGATTACATGCTTTGGTTCCTCTCTCCTCTCTCATTTTCTTTAGCATAACTTCCCTTTTTTTTTTTTTTTTTTTTTGAGTCAGTCTTGCTCTGTCAATCCAGGTAGAATGCATAGAATGCAATGGTATCATCATAGCTCACTGCACCCTCAAATTCTTGATATTAAGTGATTCTCCTGCCTAGTAGCTGCAACTCCAGGCATGCAACACAACACACGGCTAATTTTTCTATTTTTAGTAGAGATGAGGTCTTGCTCTTGCTCAGGCTGGTCTTGAACTCCTGAGCTCAAGCAGTCTTCTCGCCTCAGCCTCCCAGAGTGGAAGTTATAACAATATAGTTTAGTCTCATAACAAGTTAATTTTAATTTAATTGAAAACTATACCTCTTTATATCCCTCACTTTGTTATTAATGTGACAAATTATATCCTTTTATATTGATCATGTATTAATAGAGAACTTTTAGAACATCTAAAATAATATTCTTGAATTTGTACATTTTATAAAAGCTGAATTAGATAATTAGTATGCACACCACATTTACTAAAATGATTGGTTTGTATGTTTCAGTTTACTGCGTGTAAATAGCATTTCGATCCACTGGAATCAACCTTTATCTGCATGATAATATAATTTATTCCTAATCGTTCATTTTGTGCATCAGTTTCACAACATATTTTACAATGTTGTTTCCAAAAGCTGGATTGCTGCAGCCTTTCACTTTGTGTAAGAAGAGTACCAATATATTAATAAGAAAGAAGTTTCTTTAGTATCATTTAAATGCCTAATGATTAAAATTTTCTTATCAGTGCTTTTTATGAATGACAATAATGTGTTTTGTGAAATATTATTGCCCTAAAATAGGCCACTTCACATCAGTCAACTGAGTTTTTAGGTTTATCTATATATTATAATTTTGTATGACAGTATTTGACTCTGTATACTTTATGACAGCATGGGCAAAAGTCAAAGATAAATCAGCTGTGTATCTATTGCCAATGTAATTTTCTCTGTATTTGCTTGCCCATATAAATATTACTTCTATTTTCTTTATGAATAATACATTTTTTTTTGGTTGGTGGTCAATGGTTATTTTATCTTGTCTAGGTAAATAGTCATAAAATGATCTTAATTTCAAAATATATTCATTGGTGAATACATATTATCTTTGTGTGAAGTATTTGTGTGATTTGAAGATAATTTTTGAATAGCTTCAAAAATCTATTTTTGGTATTATTTTTCATGTAAAAACATAAAATTTAGAATCTTAAATATTTTAATTATAGAAGTTAGTCATGTTAAGTATATTGACATTGTTATGCAACATATATCTCTAGAATGCTTTTATCTTGCAAAGCTAAAACTCAATATACATAAAACAGCTATCTCTTTTCTGCATTTTCTGGTCCTTTACCAACATTATTCTATTTTTCTTTTGTTTCTAAAGCTGTAACTAGTTTAGATATTTTATATAACTGGATTCATGAAGTATCTGTTTTTTGGGGTGGATTGGCTTATTTCATGTAGCATGTCAAGATTTATCTTTTTATTATAGATGTTAGAAGATTTCCTGCTTTTTAAAAGCTGAGTAGTACTCCATTAATTTTATTTCCCAAATTATACTTATTTGTTCATTTTGTGAGGCAAGTTTGGGTTGTTTTCACCTATTGGCTTTTGTGAATAATTCTGTAATAAATATGGATGTGCAAATAAGTCTTCATTTGACCATACATGCGAGGGTTTTATGTCTGTCCTGCACTTTGTTTCATTGATCTAAGTTGTCTGCCTTTATGCCAGTAGCAAACTGCTTTGATTACTGAACATTTGTAACATGTCTTGAAATCAGAAAGTATGATGCCTCCAACATTGTTTCTTTTTGTGAAGATTGTTGGGCTATTCATGGTGCTTTGCCTTCCATATAATTTTTGAATTGCTTCTTCTTTGCATAATATGACATTGATAATTTTAAAGAGATTGCTTTGAATTTGCATATGAGTTTGGGCAGTATGGATATCTTCACATTATTCAGACTTCCAACCCTTGGTTAAGACCATGCTCAAAAATCTGCCATTTAATTTTCATTTATTTGTAGATGTTCTGGTTTTCCTTTTGTTATTGATTTCTAGTTTCATTCCATTTTGGTTATAAATAATA